AAGTACGATATTGTTTGCATATTTCAGGACCTGCACTGAAATTTCATAATCTGTGTAATGAAATTCCCAGTAGTGAAATTTAACCTCGCATATTTTGTCATGCGTTAGTATCAATGCGATTGTGATTCCAGGAGCACTTCAACCGATGACACGTTGGTGCAAGATTTTAAAAATTGAATGTGCCTCATACCCGTGCAGGTACAGATGGCACATAAATACGGGGAGCTGGGCGCCGGAGGGTGGATGTGTTTGCGTAATGAGTGCTCAGCGAGTGCCAATTTAAAACTCATGCAAAATATTGAATATTGACAAAAAATGAAAAACAAATGTGCAGGTACATCGGGGAGACGCTGCTCTATCAGACCATCAATAGTTCGGATAGGAAATTTAAGAAATTTAATAGATATTTGACACGTTAAAGAAAAGTATCAGTTACCCGATCGATGCGCCATCTGGTGGCAGACAGTAGAGGTGCGCTTGACCGCGACAGTATCGGTGCAGGGTAATCGTTGTTGCAAAAATAACTATAGTTATATAGCTTTTCGCTTGCGATAATATTATTGTTCTTGATTTTCTATGATACCAGAGGCCACAGGGATGTACATAACTTAATTAATGCATTCGAATTTTAACATCCTGCTCTGAATCTTTAGTACCAAACTGAAGTTTCATTACGCAGCTCTGAATTTTCAGAAGCATACTGACATTTCATTACGCAGCTCTGAGTCTTCAGTACGAATACTGACATTTCATAATCCAGTTCTAAATTTTCATAACATTGTCTTGAAATATCAAAACAATTCTGAATTTTCAGTTCAAACATGAAATTTCATTACAATTCTGAAAATTCAGTTAATTTTGGGTTTGAAATTTCAAAACATTTTTAACAGTGTTTGCTTACTTGAGGGCGTGCGCGAAGGCCATGACGGCGTCGCTGACGAACTGCAGCTGGTTCTCGAAGACGGTGTTCTCCCGGGTCAGGCGCTCCTTAGCGGTGCAGTTCTCGGTGTAGCGGCCGTTGTACGGCGTCAGCGACGAATTGGGGTAGCGGCAGTGGAAGTGGTCCTCCCAGAACTCTGTCAAAGAGAACGACGAACAGAAGCGAGTTAGCCAAATACTAATTTATATTTGATTGGCACGTAAATAAAGCGGACGGTATCAATTCATCGCTCCAAAGCAGCCTTGGGTTGAGGAGCATCCAAGCGCGTCCGTCAGACTCCGAAATAAAACGCGGTGTCAAGTGGTGCGGGCTACGTGGCGTGGCGGGGCGTGGCGGTAGCTCAAAAGACTGACAAGGAAGCCGCTGTCATGAATGCGCAGGGCACGATTGAATCAGTGACCCCTCCCCCCTCCCCCCTTCTCTCCTCGGTAACGATGGCCACTAAGTTTGAAAAGGCTCCTCGTAATAACGGCAGCGAGGGTCGAATAATAAATGAATCAGGACGAGTAACAGGCGTGGCGTGGCGTGGCGTGGAGGGGCACCCCCCGGCTCACAACAGGCGCTGCGCTGCTGCCGGGAAGAAAGGAAAGAAAAACGACTCTATCCGGCCGCCCCTCACTGCGGCGGTTGGCGGCCGGACACCGGAGCCACGAAAGCCGACGACGGAAAATTCGCGAATCCATCGGGGCGGGGGGCCCGCTGCTGCCGCTGTTCGATACGTCCCCGCAGGCCGGGTCGCGCTGCAGCGAACAGAGAACGGCGCGCCGGCGTTCGTCGTTTTAAAAACTCCCGCCGAAGCCGAAAGTACGACACGGACGGCGGCGACGGCCAGAGCGGCCAGGGCTCCGTCTTCTCCTTCTATAGAGTTTCCCTCAAACACAAACACATTTTACAGGAATAAGTCCCTGCGAAAAGCAGCAGCGTACGGATCCCGGGCAAGTTTGAGAGCCGAGACCCTTTGTGGCGGAGCGAAAGCCAGGAGTGGAGCGGCAGCAACCTGGCGGGGGGCGGGGGATGATGTGGCTGGCGGATGATAAGTACCTGTTGTGTAGCTCGCGGCGTCGCAGCGCGGCGGCGGGTACCGGCGGGTGCCGACGGGCACCCAGAGGCGCTTATTCAGCCGACGGCTTTAGGGTCGAGAAAAGGGGGGGAGCAGGTACTCGCAGAGCCTACTTAAAATACAGGGGCGGCCCTGGAGGAGGGGAGCGCTGTGCCAGCGGCGCTGAGGGGGGCCTAGGGTAGGAGGGCCGTCCCTCGCCTCGCAGGGCGCGGCGCGGCGTGAGGCGGGTGCCTGCTTGCATGCCAACCAAATGCACTCGAGCCGACAGGACAGCCAGCACAGGCAGGATGTCGCTCCATCTCACCGTCTCTCCGTCCTTCCCCCCCTCCCTCCCTCCCTCCCTCCCTCTCCCTCTCCCTCTCCCTCTCTCTCTCTCGCTCTGCCGTGGCACACGCGTGCGGAGATGACAGCAGTGCCTGCGTCTCACTCGCACTCACTACGGAGATGAGACTATCACCAGGGAACGGGAGGTAGGAAAAGAGAGGGGGGGGGGGGGGAGAAAAAGAGAGGGAGCAAGGGAGAGAAAGGAGAGAGAGTGAGAGTGTAAGAGTGTGAGAGTGAGAGTGAGAGAGTGTGTGTGAGAGTGA